ACCATGGTATCGCTCCGTTTATGGCCATGGCAACCATGCTGTTTTGGCAGCGCCAATAAAAACAGCGCAAGTAATGATTTTAGTCAAACTTAAAAATATGGTATTTACAAAATTACTGTGCACTGTGACAAATATAGTAATACTGTTATAAGTTTGAACTTATTTCAATATTCAGAATGATTCTTAGTGGTTTAATTTTAATTTTGTGGTCATATGCAAGGCAGAGATTGTGTTTTTTGTGTCGTTGTGGGAGGGGAAGTGAGAGGCAGAAACAGGAAGCAGTTACAAGTGCCCATTTCAGTTTATTAGGCACAGAAAGAACTAGAAGACAAGTGGTTTATGGGCTTTCAGTCTTAATCTGATGTAGATTTACAGGCAAACTCTCTAAATGTGAGAGAGAAAGTGTTGGCCGACAATAAAACTTACCATTGCTAATAGGGTTGGGTACTCGGTACTACTTCACGTTAAATCAGTCGGTCCCAAATTTCGGTACATGAGAACGCATCTGGGCGCATATGCTACAGAGAGAGAAAGAGAGACCCTGTGATGTGAGGTCACCCCTGCAACTCATTTAAACAACACACAGGGCAGGCCGAAATGTTCTGAAGTGTGGTCACATTTCTAGGGCCATATGGTTTCTGCGAAAACGCGGACAGGATCGCGGAGTCCATTCATAAAAAGCGGTTTTGTTTACTACACAAATACTGAAGCACGCGTGACGCTCGCAGTGATTTCTGGCCTCTGCGCCTCACTATATGACGGCATGAACACAAAAACCTAATCTCCAGAGCTGCTGTGAGAGTCACTTTGCGAGAATTTTACCGTTTCATTTGAGAAAACTAGCATCATCATACTGTATACACAAAGAAACTTCATGGCAACCTGTCAAAATAAAAGTACGGTTTAACATGTAACAGAAATATATTTCTCTTGTATTACTTTTGTACAGTATAATGTACATCTTTAAATATTCCATTTTCTATCAAATTACTTAATTGTAGAAAAAAAATAATACAATTATTAGTCAATTAAAAAAATGTTTTAAAGGAATATTCACACAATTTTTCTTCCATATATTAATTTCAACAGTAAACCTCAGTTTGTTTGCCAAAAAATAAAAGGGTTTAATTTTCATTTGATTTAAAATAAATGTTTAATGCCTTCATTTGATTTTCTGAAAAATTAAAACAAGAATTTCTGGGGGAAAAAAGAAAGAAAGAAAGAAAAATTTGTAAGGCCCTATTGTTCAAAATGTTGAAATTGAGACTTTTGGACTTATTTTTTCACTGAAATAAATGTTTTTGTATTTACAGAGAGAATAAAGTACCAAAAAAAGGTACCGTTGGGTACCGGCACCGAAATTCAGGTACTGATACCAGTACCGTACCGGTTAAAATATGAACGGTACCCAACCCTAATTGCGAGCCATAGTTTCTGCAAATTAAGACCGTGGTGAATCATCGTTACTGTGAAAATATGCTTTTTAAAAGATGCTTAAAGCTTTTAACATTTCCTTATGAATTTGTTTTGATTTTACATGAGTAACACTACTTAAGCTTTCCGTTATTTTGGCGGCAACAATGGTTACCATGGAAAATCTTTTTACGTTTCTTTCACATTCACAGCTGCGGTGTGTGTGGGGTTAATAGGGTTGCCAGATGTTGCTTATTTGATGAGCGAGTTGCCAGATGTGATTGTGGTGTGCGATGTTGCTGCAGGTGGAGTGGTGGATGGAGCTTTATTGATTTGACTCTGTGATTTCTGCACAGTGAAAAACCATAAAATTTCCCTTCACTAAAAGCAGCTGAACAATAGATGACCTCAGCCTACACGACTTTCTTCCTTCTGTCTGGCGTATCCCTTTTCCTTTTTTCTCTTTTCATTTTGGTCATTCTAAATCATTAGTACTTTAGTTCTTTAGACAAATTCTCTGAGGACGTAAATGACTCTGTATAAAAGTGAGTTTGTAGTATTTGCTTTGTATTTTAGGCATGCACTACCATTTAAAAGTTTGAGGTCTTCTCTTCTGCTCACCAAGGCTGCATTAACAGTAATATTGTAAAATAGTATTATAATTTAAAATAACTGTTTTCTATTTGAATATAGTTTAAAATGTAATTTATTCCTGTGATGCAAAGCTGAATTTTCAGCATCGTTACTCCAGTCTTCAATGAAACTTGTGCTTTCACTGCATCATTAACACATTTCGTTCAGTAGGATGCAAACAGCGCCCTCTCTGGTCTGGGTGATTTGGTGATTTTACAGTGACAGGACGTCTTCCATTCAGCATTAATACGAATTCATTGCTCTTCTCTTAATGTATACTTGTTTTTAAATCTGATTACTAGCAATCTATACCCTGAGCGGAAGAGGAGTTTACTTTCCATCTTGTGTATCTAAGTGCTTGTGATAATTTGAAAACTCTGTGTGTGTGTGTGTGTGTGTGTGTGTGTTTGCGTCTAAATTTAGTATTTCACTCTCACCTCTTTAGGTCTCGAGTTGAATGCTTGGATTACCATCCGACCTTTGATCTTTAAGCATTCCTGCCCAAACTTCAGCCCTCGGCCATTGCTATCAGTGCAAATGCAGTGTTATGTGTGTGTGTGTTTCAGGATGGAGAGGCACTAAACCTGAGAAGGCTTCTCTTCTCTCATCACACTCTGAACATAAGCGACCTATTTATGAACAAAGATAGAGACAGGAAGAAGTGTGTGTGTGTGTGTGTGTGTGTGTGCGCGTCTGTGAAATGAATGTGAATGATCAATATCAGTTTGTTAGTTTGTCATTGACAGGATGCAATTTCGACCACAGGATCTGTATGTATGAATTTTAACTATTTAATTGACTTGATGTCAATATCAGAATTGACCTTATTCACTTTATCAGTGCACGTTTACGGTCTTATTGTTTATATTATATATTTGAAATATAATTATTTAGTTTTATATATATAATTAATCATATATATTTCTAAAATATTATATAAAATAAAATTATTTTACAAAAAGAATTATGTAATTAAATTAGAATGACATTTTTTAATATTATATTTTAAATGTGCATTTTTTCAGTTTAGAAGTCCCTTTATCATTGGTAGTTTTATTTTATTCTTTTTTGTAAGTTTTAATATTTTAGTGCACAAAATTGTATAATTTGAAAATATTTATTTGAAATTCGGCTTCTCACAGCACAGTAATGTTATTGCTAAATTGTGACATTTTTATATTTTAAAATAAATTGTGGCCATTTTTATTTCAGTTGAATTTAGTTTTGGAGTTTTAGTTACTTTCGTTTTTTTCAGATAATTAAAAAAAAATTTCATTTAGTTTTAATTTTAGTTTTCATAAACAGTAATAACACTGGTTTGTTTTCAGAATCTTCTATCACTAACAACTTTCCTTTTCCGCTGACATCATTGAGCCCTCTTATGTTTTAGCCCCTCCCCCTAAACTGCTTTTCACATAGAGCCACTTCCAATCAATTCTCAAACGAATTCTCGTTGAACATCCCATTTCACTTGGAATTCTGTAATATTATGGAAGTACAGTGAGTTTCAAACTTTGACTTAAAATTCTTCACCTTTTAATAGTTCAGAACACATGTAGGAAGTGCCTGTGTAGTTGGCACATGGATCTGTGTGTGGGTGTGTGGGTGTATCAGATTTCCGCTGGCACACATACCTCACATACCCGGTATACTTTCCCTGTCACTATTAAACACACTTGCACACACACATTCAAGCATGCTGTGCTTTCCCTGAGCATACCACTGTTAAAGAAACACACATAAATGTGCACTGTGCTCCAACAGCTGTCTGTCTGTTTGTATTTTCTGAAGGCTGGGCATCCTTCTATAAAGATGTATTTCCAGAAGACGACAGGACAGATACCAGCTAGCAGCACGCCGACAGACCACATCCATAAAGTCTGGCCCCTTCTAGTCCTGCCAAGCCAGACTTTTCACTGTCAAAGTCAAGTCTAGGCCAATTTGAAGCTTTTTCTGGCCAAGAGCTGCCCACTGAGACAGGAAGAGACTGTATATTTTATCGACATGTTAAGTGACCAACCAATGGAGTGTGTTTGGTCAAAAGTTTGGAAATATTTAAAATATTTTTTAAAGAAGTCTATCATCCAAGGCAAGTAAAAACAGTAATATTGTGAAATATTATTACAGTTTATAATATATAATATAACTGTTTTTTATTTGAATATATCGTAAAATGTAATTTATTCCTGTGATGCAAAGCTGAATTTTCTTTTCCAGTCTTCAGTGTCACATGATCCTTCAGAAAACATTCTGATATGCTCCTCAGGAAGTGTTTCTTATTGTTTTCAATGTTGAAAACAGTTGTGCTGCTTCATATGATGCTGAAATTCAGTTTTGCATCACAGGAATTAATTAATTATTTTTTAAATTGCAATAATATTTCATAATATTACACTTTTACTGTATATTTGATTAAATAAATGCAGCCTTGGTGAGCAGAAGAGAAACAGAAAAATCGTAGTTATTCCAAACTTTTGTCCGGTAGTGTGTAATATCACGCCATGACCCACAACATCTTCATAGTTTCATTTCTGGGTTTCATTACCTATGAAAATCTCAGTTTTAAGATCCTCAGAGGTGAAGTCGGAACTCGTCTTATGTAACGTAATAAAAAGGATCATTAGGCAGGAGAGCAAAACGGATAAATGCTGGAAATTCAACAATGAGTGAAGTGTGTTTGAGCTGCACAAATCAGTCTGGGGATTGGGTTTTCGAAGGTGTGTGGGGAAGAAAGTGCATTGTTGATGCAACTTCACAATGTTTGTGTGTTTCTTTGAGCCGAATTCTAGGCGGTAATCAGCTTAATAACAAAAACGGCATCAAGCAAAGTTCACTGCGTCATTTAATCTCCCAGTGCATGATGGGTAATCGGCCACATTCCACAGTGGCTCAGAGCTGGAACTCATTTCTTTCCCTTCATCTCAACTTTTTAGACATTTGTGTGACGTTTATTGTAATTTTTACCTATTTTTTCGTTTCTCGTAATAATTTCGCTGACTTTAGTGTGTTAGCCCATGATGATGCATGAAGAGCTGTATGATTACTTGAACAGACGGCGGTCGGTGGGTTCGCTCCGCTGGCTCCTGGAGGAACCGGACCCTCTGGCCCCTCTGCCTCTCACCCTGTTGCAGGAGTACCTGCAGAAGCTCCTGGAGATGAAGATGCACATCAGTGTGAGTAGTCATAGTGAACGCATCCCTCAACGACTAGACTGGACATACAATTACTATAGTATACAATCTCTAGTCAAACAACTTTGGAATACTTGATTCTGATTGGTCTAATGTGGCATTCTGCATGTGTTAAAATATTTAGTATGATGACCTCAAAGCTACATAATTAATCATTGTCTTAGGATACTGATTTCTTAGTGTTATGTTTCTCGTATCACTCTGCACTATTTTGAAACCAAATATTTAATTTTTATTTGTTTATTTGGTAAGTAGCCGTGCATTAAGTCTAGTTGGCTTTACGTTGGAGTCCTGAGACTGGATTCATGAAACAATTTTTAAGAATTAAATTCCTCCTACTTTTTAAACTTCGTATTAATTTTAAGCTTAAGAAAAATATTTTGTTCCTAAGAATTTTAATAAAATTTAAAACAAATTCAAATTTTTGAAAAAACAACAACAACAACATTCTAAATAAATCATTCTAAATAACCTCTAAAAGTTAAGATCTCTCTTATTCGATAATAGAAGTTATTCTATTATCTAATATTATATATATGAATAAAACTATGAACAATATATTAATAAATTATTATTTTATAATACTTAGTATTTTTAAGTAAATATTTCTATAATATAAATAATTATTAAACATTAAAAAAAAAGATCCATATTGAATTATTATTATAAGAATAATATGCAAGTTTGTAAGAGTGTTCATAAAACCCTTTTATAATTGTAATGAATTTTGCCCCCTGCATTTTTGACCTGAGTACTTCAGAATCAGAATCAGAAAAAGCTTTATTGCCAAGTATGTTTGTACATACAAGGAATTTGTTATAGTGTCACAAGCTTCCAGTACACAGAGACAACAACAACACACCGATAATAAAAATGAGATGTGAATAAAATACACATGCATAAATATAAACCACAAAAAAAAGAATAAATTGTATGTACAGGTGTGCTATAGATGGAGTAGGAATAGAATAAAATAAAATAAGTTGTAGGGATGTACTAGGGTTTAGGGTGATAAATAAGTATAAGGTTATTGCACATACTGTACTATAATTGCACAATGGGAGAACATTAACTGTTCATGAGGTAGATTGCCTGGGGAAAGAAACTGTTCTTGTGCCTGGCTGTCCTGGTATTCGGTGCTCTGTAACGCCGACCAGATGGCAAAAGTTCAAAAAGGAGATGGCTTGGATGTGATGGATCCAGAGTGATTTTCTGAGCCCTTTTCCTCACTCTGGATGTATACAGTTCTTGGAGGGTAGGCAGGGGGGGGACCAATAATCCTTTCAGAAGTCCGAACCGTTCTCTGTAGTTTTCTGATGTCTGATTTTGTATCTGAACCAAACCAGACAGTTATTGAAGTGCACAGAACAGACTCGATGACGGCTGAGTAGAACTGTTTCAGCAGTTCTTGAGTACTAAAACTTTTAAAGTTATTAGAGTTTGTAATTTAATTCTATGATATTAGCTTATGGAAAGGTTTCACTGGTTTGTGTAGGTTTTTCTATTACCAAAATTAACATAAACTTCAATGAATGCTTAATCAACAATGACTAATTAATTATTCATCAGTGGCTTTAGGCTAGTTATCAGGGTGGTTTGTCCTGTGTCAGCTTGGACTCTTGACTTTCCAGCACACATCAGCAAAGCTTGAAAGTGAGTTTGTGTGGCTGAGATCACACAGGATGAACATATGAGTGTGTGTGTTAATGTGTAATCCTTCCAGTCAAAGTGACTCAAATTCCAGCACTCAGTTGTGGGTGGGACTTTGAATGTGACAGACAGATGGACTCCACCCAAAACCACTTCATTTACTTTTTTAAGAACTGAAGCTGTTACATCAGGAAATGCGTAAAAATGCAAATCACTTTCATGCTATTCTCTCTCTATCTCTCTCAGTACAGTTAAAGAAACCCTAGCAACCACCAAGAAGTATAATTGTAGTTTTTGCCGATGACACATCTAAAAAAGCTGATATGTCTGTCACAAGAGCTTTTATAACAAATATTTAATACATATTCAGTATCTTTCACTGACCAGTACTGATCATCAACCACTCAGATCTCCTCAGCAACTTCATAGCATTTCACTATCAACCACTCAGATCACCCCAGCAACCTCATAGCAATGCATTATCAACCACTAAGATCCCCTTAGCAACTGCATAGCAATGCACTATCAAGCACTCAGATCCCCCAGGAACCACACAACAACATGCTATCAAACACTCAGATCACTCCAGCAACCACATAGCAACATGCTATCAAACACTCAGATCAGCCCAGCAACCGCATAGCAACGTGCTATCAAACACTCAGATCACTCCAGCAACTGCATAGCAACGTGCTATCAAACACTCAGATCACCCCAGCAACCACATAGCCACGCACTATCAACAACTCAGATCACCCCAGCAAACGCATAGCAACGTGCTATCAAACACTCAGAGCACCCAGAAACCGCATAGCAACGTGCTATCAAATGCTAAGATCACCCCAGCAACCTGCATAGCAACGTGTTATCAAATGCTCAGATCACCCCAGCAACCGCATAGCAGCACACTGTCAAGCGCTCAGATCCCCCAGCAACTGCATAGCAACACACTGTCAACCCCTTAATCACCCCAGCAACTGCATAGCAACGCCCTATCCACCACTCATATTACCCTAGCAACTACATAGCAACACACAGAATTCCCATTGCAAATGTTCAGAACTATTTGGCACAAGTGGTAACTTTAGAAGTCTAAAATCCCACAGTTTTTCATTGTGTTGTGCGTTTATGAACATGTGAGACCTTCTCTTAGTAGCGGAAAGGGATTTTTATGTTAGCATTTGAGATTTATGATGCTAGCAGTGTTTATGGAGTGATTGGGGTGATGTTCTCTTGGGCGTTTTAAATCATTGGAATGTTACAGAGCCGTGTACTTGTTATGATGCCCTGCTGTGCGAAGAGAAGACGTTTAAGTTAATTTTGGACGTTTTCATGGCACAAAGGATAATGTTGGTTATAGGACCATCCAAGTGTGTGTGACCCTTCTGTGTATCATTACTAAAAGGTTACAGTAGCTCTGTTCTGCCTTTTTCTGCAGCACAAAGACCCTGTGTGAAAGACCAATGGACTGGCATTCACATAAACACACACACACACACACACACACACAGAAACACACACAAACTGCTCAACATCTCACACAAATATTTCTCCCTGAATGCAAACCGCCTACAAGCGCCAGCCACAATGAACAGAGGCTATTGAACGAAGAGAGAGACGCTTCTATTTTATACAATGAGCATAACTTCAAAATATCTCATGACGATTGAAAAACCCCTACCAAACACACTCATAATGCACAATAGCTATGTTTACATGCACTAATTTTCAATCCGTTTTGAGATTATGAAAGTTCTGTTTGTATGAATCCTAACTTTGAAATCCGATTAATGTATTTGTTTACATGTGCAGTTCTTAAATTCCAAACAAAACGTCTGTGCGATAACTTAGCTGGAGCGACTGTGAATATAAGTGTAGCTTTTGCCTTGATGACACATCTAAAAAAACTGATGTCAGAAGAGCTTTTGCAACAAATATTTAATACATATTCAATGTCCTCCACTGACCAGTACTGATCATTAACCACTCACATCATCCCAGCAACTGCATAGCAATGCACCATCAACCACTCCAATCCCCTCAGCAACTGTATAGTAATGCACTATTAAAGGGTTAGCTCACCCAAAAATGAAAATTATGTAATTAATTACTCACCCTCATGTCGTTCCACACCCCTAAGACTTTCGTTCATCTTCAGAACACAAATTAAGATATTTTTGATCAAATCCGATGGCTCAGAGAGGCCTCCACTGACAGCAACGCCACCCAAACTCTCAAGATCCATAAAGGTACTAAAAACGTCGTTAAAACAGTCGACTTGACTACAGTGGTTCTACAATAATTAATGACAGAATTTTCATTTTTGAGTGAACTAACCTTTTAACAACTCAATTCACCCCAGCAACCGCATAGCAACGCACTGTTAACAACTCAAATCACCCCAGCAACCGCATAGCAACGCTCTATCAAGCACTCAGATCACCCCAGCAACCGCATAGCAACGCACTGTTAACAACTCAAATCACCCCAGCAACCGCTTAGCAACGCACTATCAAGCACTAGATCACCCCAGCAACCGCATAGCAACGCACTATCAAGCACTCAGATCAACCCAGCAACTGCATAGCAACGTGTTATCAAGCACTCAGATCACCCAGCAACCATATAGCAACACACTATCAACCACTCAGATCCCTTTAGCAACTGCATAGCAACGCACTTAGATCATCCAAGCAACTACATAGCAGCGCACTATCAAGCACTTAGATAAGCCCAGAAACCGCATAGCAACGCACCATCAACTACTCAAATCACCCCAGCAACCACATAGCAATGTGTTATCAAGCACTCGGATCACCCCAGCAACCACATAGCAACACACCATCAACCACTCAAATCACCCCAGCAACCGCATTGCAACACACCATCAACCATTCAGATCACCACAGCAACCGCATAGCAACACACCATCAACCACTCAAATCACCCCAGCAACTGCATAGCTACACACCATCAACCATTCAGATCACCACAGCAACTGCATAGCAACGCAGCATCAACCACTCAAATCACCTCAGCAACCGCATAGCAACGTGCTATCAAACGCTCAGAGCACCCCAGCAACACACTTACGACGAACAGTTCATAAGACGGAAATGAACATGCGTGGTAATATGAAGTAATTGTATGTAAACATAAGTATAACCGCACTGAACGTTTGCTGAAGGCATTTCTGAATCCGATTGAGAAAATAGTCAGATTCAACCATTTTCTTGCTCAGTCTTTTCCTATTAATTGGATTCCTATTGACCACTTCTTCCAATCCAGTTGAAATTTGATTTGAATCAAGCTCAATCGGATGTGTTGAGGTG